TGGGCGTTGTGGCGGGCGCCTGTGGTCCCAGCTACTCGGGAGGCTGAGGCAGGAGACTCGCTTGAGCCCAGGAGATGGAGGTTGCTGTGAGCTGTAATGCCATGGCACACTACCCAGGGGGACAGCTTGAGGCTCTGTCTCAAAAAAAAAAAAAAAAAAAAAGAAAGAAAACAAATAGGCAGTAGTATATGAAAAAATGCTCACCATTAGTCATTAGAAAAATGCAAATCAGAACTATAATGAGATATCATCTCACCACAGTGAAGATGGTTATTAACAAAAAGATAGGCAAAAGTGAATGGTGGAGAGGCTATGGACAGAGGACATCCCTCATACACTGTTGGTGGGAATGTAAATTAGTACAGTCACTGTGGAGAACAGTATGGAGGTTCCTTAAAAAATTAAAAACAGAACTATCATATGAACCAGCAATTCCCCTGATGGGTATATCTCCAAAGGAGAGGCGTTCAATATATCACAGAGATATCTACACTCCTATCTTTACTCCAGCACTATTCATAACAGCCAGGATTTGGAATCAACCTTGACTATCAATGGATGAATGCATAAAGAAATTGTGGTACATGTACACAATGAAATATTATGTTGCTACAAAAAAGAATGAAATCCTGCCATTTGCAACAACATGGATGGAACTGGAGAACACTGTGTTAAATGAAATAAACCAAACACAGAAGATAAATTTTGGATGTTTTCACTTATATGTGGGAGCTAAATATTAAAAGCAATTGATCTCATGGAGACAGTAGAATAATAGTTACCAGAGGCTGTGAAGGGAAACAGGGGATAAAGTGAGGATGGTTAATGGATGTAAAAAATATAGTTGGATAGAATGAACAGTATGGGATAGCACAAGAAAGCAACTATCATCAACAGTAGGTTAGGATATACTATAAAGTAACTAGAGGAGTGGAACTGGAATGTTTCTAACACAAGAAATGATAAATGTCTGAGGTGATGGATACCCAATTACCCTGATCTGATTAATTCACAGTGTATGCTAGTAACAAAACGTCACAGGTACCCTATAAAGACATAAAACTCTTATGTACCCATGACAATAAAAAATAAATTAAAAGTTGGCATTGTATGTGCTAATAATACTTGCAAGATGGATGATATCCAGCAAACTTCACCTGACCTCAGATAACACCTATACTTCCACAGCCACACAATAACCTTATACCAGAATTCTAGTCGGAAACTTAAAGCCAGTTAATTCCCCCATGACTCCCTCTCATCCCTAACCACAGTACAAAGACAAGGCTCCTTTAATAAACTCTCCTTCCTCTCACTCTCATCACCATATTGCCCTAGGTGTCTTCCTCTGAATGAGCTTTAACACCACAGCATTCCCTGCAAACCCTTTCCATCATGCCTCTGAAACTTCTTATTCACTGGTTCATTTACAGAATTTTTATGGAGCTCCAAAACTGCAGAAGTAGGGAAGCAGGTAAGCAAATAGGTGTATTTTTGTGGGTGCTATGGTAAAAAGTAAAGGCTCCACAACAGGGGCAGAAAGGAAGACTGGTCAACTCTGTAGGAAAAAGGGGGGGACTACCTCAATGGGAAAGCTCGAACTAAATTTTGAAACATAGTTAGGTCTTCTCCCCAAATAGTGTGGAAAGGCATGAAACAAAACAGGGTTCCACACACCCCCTGGTCTGGAATGGTTGGAGTGAGGCATGCTAGGAGGGTGTAATGATCCGAGGCTGGAGGGATGCAAAAGCCAGATGGGGGAGAGCTTTGGAGGCCACTCGAAAGACTGCGGAATTTCTTCCACGGGTCAAAGAGCTCCCGAGAGGCCTTCAGTAGGCAGCCGACATGGAGAAACGTGCACATGGAAAGAGCATTCCGGTGGCCAGGGGCTGAAGAGCTGCTCAGTGTCAGAAGTGTCAGAAGTGCAGGGTAGAGAGGGGTCAGGTAGGAGGAGCCAGGGCCACCAGGAGGAGCACACATGAGATACAAGGAGGACATAAAATCAACATAACATGGTCGACGACTCGGGAAGCTGACTCTCAGGCAGGTAATAAGGTAAAGAGTGGCAACATTAACAAAAAAGAAAAAGAGGAGGAAGGACAGGTTTGAGGAAAGGTAGTGAGTTCAACTGTGCAATGTTGAATTTGAGGTACCTGTGGGACATCCAGATGGCCTTTGATATTTGCCTTTAAAAACCAAGTTATATATTTCTTTCTTACAGGGAAGATTATGCTCTTTAAAAATATCAAAGATACCAGACCAATAAGCAAGTCAGGCTAATTCACATGTTCAAAAAGTTGAGAACTCTTCAAAAAGTGTAGACCAAACTGGTTTCTCACCTTGCAGGAACAACAAGAATTAGACTCTCTCAACAGAACTCTGCCCTTGATAACCACAGTACTCTAGCATGCAGCAACAGGAATGTATCAGCTTCCATATGATCACCTACTACCGAGAACAGTCTCGCATTTCACATACTGACAGTATGTAATTCAAATTTTAAAAAACTTTCGATTGCTCTTTAGCTCAATTGACTCTTTTTTGAAGTTAGACATTTGTTTGTTTGTTTGTTTTGGAGACAGAGTCTTACTCTGTGCCCTAGGTAGAGTGCCAATGGCCTCATGGCTCATAGCAACCTCAAATTCTTGGGCTCACAAGAGATTCCCTTGCCTCAGTCTCCTGAGTAGCTGGAACTACAGATGCCCGACACAATGCCCAGCTAGGTTTTCTATTTTTAGTAGAGTCCAAGTCTCACTTTTGCTCAGGCTGATCTCAAACTCCTGAGTTCAGGCAATCCACCCGCCTCTGCCTTCCAGACTGCTAGGACTATGGGCGTGAGCCACCGTGCCCAGCCGGAAGGTATAGTGTGTCAATTTACATGCTAGCGCAAGGTCC